CAGAGTAGCTTGTGGTAAGCGTAGACTGTGACATCAAATGCCGTATTTTCTGACGTTCCTTATTTCCCATGCAATATCAATTTTTGATGTGGTTGTGATGCCACAAATTAAACTTACCAAAGATCTTTATAAAGACTAAATATTTGACCGCCTTTGTCAGCTGTTTAGAATCTATATTGTCTCGTCACTCTCGTGGATGCTTTCACTTCCTCCGTTGTCGAGATTTTGTTGTTTGCTTATGTTGATTGTACTGATATCCTCTTTTTGCCGTTTGTTGGTGTAGGTATCATTGGTCTGCAAGGATAAACTAATCACATGAAGTTGAAAACGTGCTTGATCATACGACGGAGCTTTAGAATTGTGGAATAAAGTAGCTCCTATTTAAACCCGTTTGGTTATGTCTGGTCTGTACTGCTGAATTCCTGTGTTTTGCTTGTATCGTTTGAGGATTATGTGTGTATCAGTTTGCGCTTGCAGTGTGATTCTCGAAAAATGTGTTGGCCTTTTCTCGGCTGCATACTGTTGCTTGTAAAATAATAAGTCAATTCTCAATAATCTTAGCTTAAAAGAAGAAATTTTACAATTCTCGCGTAAGTGGCATTGCCATTACCTGCACAGGAAATTTACTGTAGTAGTGACGCGTACCTTGGCTATAAAATTAAAGACCCCTGTTTGCAATTTCTTTGGAAACTTGTTCTAAATAAACATATAAAATATAATATCAACCTTGAAATACTCTCTAATTAATATCCACCCATTAAATTTTATAATAAAAATATATTATTAATCTAATTGGAAAAGTGTAGGGTGTTACAGGAGATATAGTTAAGCTAGCTAATGCCATGATAGAATCATACCCAATTGTTCTACCATGACAGTAGTACTAGGCTTTCTTGTTTAAGTGACGACATCTGATAAATCAAGTTCTTGTGTTGTAAATTGATATACAATTTTCTGTGAATCTAACAAGCTAAAAAGATCACCATGTCTTGTTAGTTTAGTACGTTTAGACTACTTAAACTATTCATCCTATGTTGCAGGAGATCTCCTAGTTAAAATGTGTGACGATGTATATAGTTGTTGTGTTGTACATATGATGTGTTGATTTAATTGTGTTTATTCATATGTTGTGTTGACTTGTGATGAAGCTTGTTGATGTGTTGTTTATGTTGACCTTGTATTGTAGTAGATGCAAATTGTAAAGTTGATAGAGTTGAACGTGTTGAAATGTTGATGCTGAAAAATATCAGTAGTGTTGTAAAATCTTGTTATATATGTTGATCCTTTAAACACTAGTTTATCCTTACATGTTTCTATGTTTTTTAAATCGCAATGATCATACGTGATGTAGGAGTAAAACAAAGACAAGTATGAGATGTTACGGTTGAGATGGATATAGGGAGGATGACGTATTGCTTATACTTTGGATGCTACTTTCATAATAGTAATTTGTATAAGAGTTACTTGACCAACAACTTATATTGTATAATTTACATTTATAAGATTACTATATCTATACTGCATATATATTTGAACACCTTTTTTGTATATTTATATACAGATCACTATATAATACATTTTCTCGTGTTTGTAGGTATACAATCTTAAGTTAATAGTTATTTTTGTTGCTAGTTGTTTGTTGTTAAGTGTAAGGACCATGTTATTAGGTCGTTACACATATAGGCTATAGTGACACAATATATGTTATTAAATTTCATTCAAAATTATTATTAAAATTGTGTGTGACTGTATGTAAAATAGATTTATACCTATAATAATATTTTTTATATATCACTATATGTAACGTTTCTTATAGTGATAATATCCTTTGAATTGATCAATTTAAATAGTTCAAGAAATAGCTTTTTCTACCAAAGATTGTGACTTACATAGTATTTAGAAAAATAAATGCATTTACTTGCAGGAGAGTATAAAAGAAAATTACATATCAAAGTAAGTAATTATTTTCTTAATAAAAGACAAGAGGAAGTAATAAAAATAATAAAACAGTATTATAGAAATAAAAATAATAATGAAAAAAATTGATCCTTATAAAATAATAATTTTTTTTTATCTTTTTACATAATTTTGAATCAATTTTAAATTAATTCAAGATGTGAAATATGCAACCATAAATTAACTTATATAAAAATTATGATATTCAAATATTTTTTAATCTAAAAATATTTAAAATATAGTAAAAATTGTATGAAAAATATATCATACGGACAAAAGAGAATAGTATAAAACTATTTTTTTAGTATTTTGGTTATCTTTTGAACTTATTTTCACATAATTTTTATTATATTTGTATTTTTATTTATTTAAGAGATTTAGAGATTTTTATTATACGGACAAAAAGAGAATAGTATAAATCTAAAAATTGAAATTGTTTTAGAGATTTTTATTTTGATTAATATTATAAAAATAAAAAAGAAGTATTTATTTAAAAATTTAATTGTGAAAAAATTCTTTAATTTTTATATAAATTCAAAAGGACAAAAACAATTTTCAAATAAAAAAAGTAAATATAAAAATCAAACGAGTTATTAATAAGTTGTAACCACTTATACTTACAATATTAACAAATAAATTACATTAATGACATATTAAAAGATGTGTTAAGTAAATACATGTGACCCTAAACAATTAGTACATGTTATACATAATATGCACAGAAGAAATAAAACTTTATAAGTTTTTTGGGTAGTTATTCGTACGGGCTCATGCACAGGACGGATTTTCAATTAAGCACTTTTATTTGGTTAGTTAATCTAAATTACTTCTAATTATTACTTTGTAAATATAGATTTTGGCACTCCTAGTATCACAATATAATTTTATTTGGCTGTTTCAAAAATAAAAATTTAAAAGTTTTTATTTTATTTTATTATCATAATAATATATTATCTATTATTATAAAAATATTATTTTTTTGCGAATTTTCTTAAAAAAAATATTTGCAAAATTTTTTTGTGAATTTTCTTGTGATAATAATTTCACAATTTTTTTTTACAAATTTATTTGTGAAAAATAATTTACAGATATTTCTTACAATTTTTTTTATGAAAAATAATCTATAATTTTTTGTTTTGCAAATTTTGCTACAATTTTAATTATCATATAAATTTTTTCCATGATAAAATTTGCCAAAAATATTGTAAGAATTTTATTTTTTTTCTTGTAGATTTTCTTATGAAAATAAATTCGCAAGTAATGTTTACTAAATGGTAGAAAAATTTTGTAGGTAACTTTTCCTACAGATATTTCTGCCAATTTTAAGCTGCAGGAAAAATAAAAGTGTTTAAATTTATAAGTTTAAGACATATTAATATAATATCATTGTTAAAGTTTAAATATAACCTTTTAAACTCTTAGATTATAGATTATAAGTTTAACATTTAACTATACAAATCAACTTGTAAGGTAAGTGTTTCCCCAACTTATATACTTTTTAATTGTTTTATTTTCAATCGATGAGATTTGAAGTTTTTTTTTAAATATTAATTAGATCATGTCTTTATAAAAAATGATTAATTTATTATATTGAACAACAAAATTATATTATTATAAATTATTTTAACTCTTAAAATATTCAATATTCTAAAACGTTAGTTTTTTAATAAATAATTTTATTTTAAAAACTATGAATAAATTAAAACTCATCATCAATAATTTATACATTTAATTAAAAGAAATATTTAATTTATTAATATTTTAAATTTAAAAAAATTATGAAATATTTATAAATAAATTAGTAAAATAATATTTTATTAAGTAAATACTTTTAATTTTAAAATTTTATAAATTATCATTAAATTAAAACT